CTACTATAATTAAAATATAATTTAAAAAAATATTATATTTGGCTTAATAAATAGACCAAGTATTAATTTTTTTTGGTTTGACCAACTGGTGAGCAGACTTCTGTATGTGAGTGTAGTTGATCTGGTAATTCACATGGACTATAAATCTGAACTTAGATCTTTCAAATCTGAATTAATAGTGTGTTAAGTAGAGTTAGATTTGTTATAAGAATAAGATAGATATTGTTGTTTTTTTAGTTGTCAAAGTTTGTGCAATAAGGTTTTTATAATTGCTCATATAGTTGTTTGTTAATCTTAAGCAAAAGATTAATTATAGTATTTGATACTATTTTGTAAGAAATACTATAATTTTAAAGTATTTAAATTAAAGATTAAGGAATTAGGTCTTTAAAAGTGAGCTTTATATAGTATGAGTTAATATTTTTAGATTCAAGTTTGGGTCAAACCAAGTTCAGGTTGAACTGAACCAAACCCAAATTCAAACCAAAAATTTTATAGATCTCAAACCCAAACTAAAATTTGAACAAAATTTATCAAGCTTAAATCAAACTTGAATATAATAGTGAGTTCAATTTGAGTTTAGTTCAAAGTTTATAAACATGTTCGGGTTCAGGATATATTTTTATATATAAAATAATTTTATCAATATAAAGTAGATATGTACTAAAATTAGGAATATAGACAATGATATTTATAATTATATATACTAATTCTTATATTATATCATAAAGCTGTTGATTAGATTTAGCATTATGACCTAATCTTGAAATTTATTGATATATTTTGTTATCGTAGGCATTATTTCGAGATATATTGCTTGAAGAGAGTTAATAATTAATTTAAACTAAATGCAAAACATAATTTTCTGTTATTAAAAAGTCTTTAACCAAATTAATTATTAGTTCTGCTCAAGCAATATGCCACCATAATGATATGGTATAAGTTGTTAAAATCTCTAGTTTTGGAATTATCATATCTGAGATATCTAACAAATGCATGTCTTTAGCTGATTATGAATTTGATAATGAGCTTATAGTAAGTATTTGCAACCAAAAGTTCTTAAATAAAAATATTGTGTGAAGATAAAGGGTTAGTGATCAAGATCGTACACAAGTAATATAATTAATTGAATAATTTTGGCAATTTTAGCTAAAGATTTATAGTGCAAAATACAAATATTAAATTTTAGCCAATCCACAAACCTCTATAATAAAAAAGATATTCTTAACTGTTTTTTTTTTTATTGCAATGATAAATTTGCTTGACTGTCAAAATATCAAAAAGTATAGGTACGACTGGCCAAAAGTTTAAATAAATGCTGGCTAGCCAAAGGTGCTAAAAATAGATTTAATTAAAGGACTTGAAATTTACAGTGTATATTGTAAGTAATTCAGCTAAGTAATTCGAACTGAAACAATAATATTTATCCAGAAAATTAACAAGATTGTGCCAAGTATCATCGAAATTAAGAGTCTGATTCTTTGAATATTCATCATAGCTATTTAGTAAATATTTATAAGCTTTGGATATTCACGAATAGCAATGAACGAGTATTCACATTTTGAATAAATATCCATACTATTATTTATAATCACAGATATAGATGTGCCATTTATATGATATCCGAATTTTTTTCGCGTACAGTACGTACAGTACGTATAGTTGTATAGTGTGTATAGCATACGTAATACACATAACACACATAGCATTTATAAATCAGTTATATGCAACATTGTGCAAGGAACAATTTTTGTTAGAATGCGAAAGACAGTTTCATAATCAAAATTTTGAGATAGGGATACTTTCATGAATTGTTCTAGAATATTCTAAATTTTTTTTTGCGTACTGTACTGTACGCGGCACATTGGGGTATTTCATATTCTAAATAATCAAGTCTATATAAGGTATTATAATAAAAATTACTAATACGGATTTTTTATATATCATGAAGATCCTGACATACCCGGCAAGATTCTCTAACCGAGTCTTAAAAAGTTCAGCATTAAAACTGTTATAAAAGCTTAAAAGTTTACTATAATATGATAAGACAACTTTTTTTACACAATTACGACTTTAAATTTTCGGTTACCAAAACCAATTCGTAACAAATATCATGACCTTTTTTGACTAAACATCTAACGTTAATAAAAGCCGTATCTTAAAAAGCTTCAGCATTAGAACTATCACAAAAACCTGTAAGAAAACTTTATATACAATATAAAGAAAGCTTTCTTTACACAATTACAATTTCAAAATTTTGGTTATTAAGGCCAATTCATAACGCAAGCACGTCTTTTAGCTGGAGTATATATAGTAAAACACAAAAAAAATTCCCGCTAATGTAGTAGCTAAAAATGTTCGAATAATTAAAATTTTTAACCTGTAACTTCTTTTGACTATATTATCGCAGTTGTTTGCCACAAAAATCGCTGGAAAAAAATCGTTAATACGCGAATTGAAGCAATTTTTTTGATCGCTTCTTTTGATAGTAATTTACTAGTAAAGACGCATCGATTTTGTCGATCAATTTTATGCATGAAATCTACACTAATGCCATTATTACTGCACCTTACATAATTATGATTAATTAGTATATGAAATACCCTAGCGGCACATCACTAATCACAGATATTCATAGATCAATTATATTGATTAGTAATTTTAGATTATCTGTGAATTATATATAACAAGTATCTGAACATCCGTGAATATTCACGGATTCAACCTCTAATCATAATAGTAAAATGAACGAGAAGCAGCATCAGCTGATAGTTTTTCGCCTGCTCAAAGCATGCCGGTTATTAAATAGAAAACTGGAAGAATAAGAAAACTATTATGCTTGGTGAAAAAGATTAAGTTAAAAAAGCATCGAAAATGAGTTTTGTCAGTTCATATATATATAGATTATGATTGGTAGCTTTTCTATTATATATTGATTCATATAATTTGACGTTAATTAATCTCTTCACTGATCTTAACCTAGGCCTTTCTCTTTAAAATTGATTGGGTGCAGTGGTTGTAGCATATGAAGTGTAACTCCTAACCAGTTCTACACTTTCTTGTTGATCCTTGTTAATTAAAAATTGAGTATGTAGCGGAATTGCACAATACATAGTGCACTTACCCGGGGCGCATACCCGGTAAACATTAATTACATAAACAAAAAAAAAAATAAAAAAAATAAAATAAAAAAAATATATATATATATAATAAATATGTGCAATAATGTACTGCAATATTTCGGCATCCCCTGATGCTGAAATATTTGACGTCATCATCAATGTAAGGTCGGATCACAAGATCGGGGTGTGTAGGAATAAAGTAATAGATCAGTGACATATAAATTAGTTAAATCAGTAATGCACGAATTTGTAAGCGATGCATAAGAAATGTCGTAATTATGTTTATAAAAGATGGCGTGATTAGTAAATTAATTAAAAGTCAAATATGCGTGACCGAAATGTGATGTAATGTAGGGTAGTTAAAGATAGTCAAAACGAGTATATAAGTAAAAGCGTAAATAAAGATAATTAATAAGTGCTTTCTTACCAAAAATCCTACTTTCGTATCGAGATACTGGTCCAACCTGACCCTTTGGTGGTCAATGAAGTATAGAGAGCTTTATGTTTGAGTCGGAAACACCTTCAACACTGATTAATTTAGGTGCTTGAAGGCACCCATAGTTTGTCTGCTCTCAATTATATACTTTGAAATGTGATTAAAGAACATGCAATTGGATTGGTTATTATAGTTAATAAAATAAATACCGTATATTTATTCTGGTTAGGCTACTCCAAATTGATTCTTTGTTTAATATAATATAAATATTTTGCGAGGGAAGTAGGGGTATAAAAAAATCAACAGCAAAAAAAAAGCAGTGATTCTATTGGCTAAAAAAAATATCAAAAATATCAAAAGCTGATACTGCAATATAATTGGTTAGTTTAGTAATTTATTTTATTATTTTGTCTAAAATTTTAAAAAATATAAAAAAAATGAAAAGAGATATATTTAATTAACCAATCAGAACAAATTAACCCCAAATTAGCCAATCAAAATTGATTATGTAAGCACCCAAATTGGCACTTTATAGTATAGATGTCTTTTACTGTTCGGTACTGTATAATATATGAAAGCAGGTTTTAACATGTTTGGACAAGTATAATTAATAATACATACATGCAGGGTTGTACATTTTCGATGTCCAAAGGCTTTTTTTTGGCCATGTCCAACGTCCAAACATCCAAGCGTCCAAGAGTGTCCAAAGCTTGTCTAAGCTTTAAAAATTAATAAATTTAAATAAAAAATAAATGATTATATATATTTTTTTAGTTCTAAACATTTTTACTTAAAAGATGAAAATAGGTTGTCTTAATAAAATTTTGAGTAATTTTGATTGATTTTTTTGTCAAAAACTTCCAAAGCTGTCTTGTGACAACCCCGCATACATATGTATTAGTATAAATTGTTTAAAGCAGAGTTTGAAATCTAATTATATATATGTCTCAGGTTTCAAAGTATGAATTAATAGGTCTAAGCAAAAATAAAGTTCTTAGTTGGCTATCGCTACACACACTATTTTTGGTATGTACAGTATAAGCTTATATTTCATTTTATATACTCAATTTTTAAGCTTTAAATTAAGATCTTTTAAAACTATATTTATAGTTATTCCCACGTTGAGAAAATATCTAAAGATATTATTAATCTGCAGGTACACGTATCTACAATACAATGTACATATAAATAAATGTGAAATATGCTACGTATATAGCGATAGTATTACTTAAAATACCTTAAAAAGCGCATGTTCTTAGAACTAGTTATGATTAGTTACTTAATTTGTATATTTTGATCGTGTAGAAATTAAAATATTAGAATGTTCAAAACAATTCTACATATTATAAATAATAACAAATTTGATATCCTTTTTAATAAAACTTCTGCTACATATAATTTCGTTAGATTTTTTTTTTTTTTTTTGAAAGTCAAAAATCAGGATGACAAGTGAAGATAGTGAGCCAGAAAATTTGGATCAAAATAATCATAACGGTAATAATAATAATAATAATAATAATAATAATAATAATAAAAATTTGGGTGGAAGACCGCGTGCACCAATTTGGAGCTTTTTTAATGAAGGTGAAGAAATAGATTCAGGTCATCGTTCAGTTTCTTGTAAATGTGGTGTATTTTGGAAAAGAGGAAGACCTTCTGCTCTAGAACGGCACATTTTGGTTGAATGCAAAGAAGTTGAACCACAAGTTAAAGAAGCTGTACGAAATATGGTAGAAGCACGTGAAAGAGAATTAACTCAAAATAAACGTAAAAGAAAAGCAACTGAAGATCAACAAGATATTGATAACTATTTTGAAAGCTTAGCATTAAGTAATGAACAAAAAGCAAACTTTGATATTGCTCTTATTAAGCTTTTTGTTTGTGGTGGGCTTTCTTGGCGACTTGTAGAGCATCCTTTTTTTGTTGAATTTGTTCAACAATTGCGACCATCTTATAGTCCACCTCTTCGTAAAGCATTAGCTAATACATTATTAGATAATGAAGTCATGCGTGTTCATACAAAAATTTATAATATGCTAGAAAAAGAAAAAAATTTAACTCTAGGTAAGTAAAATTTTTAAAATCAAATCTATAATTATTACGTATATATTATAACTGTTTATTATTTTTAGCATTAGACGGCTGGACAAGCCTTGATGGGAAAGCATTATGGAATTTTATTATTCATACTTCTAATGGTAGTGACGTACTTTGGAAAATACATGATTTTTCTGATCAAAGTCATACAGGCCAGTATCTTGCTGAACAAATCGAAAAGATTTTAAATGATATTGGAAATTACAAATTTTCTGCTATTGTAACTGATGCAGGGCCAAATATTAGTGTAGCACGACGAATTATTGTTCAAAAATTTCCACATATTTTTAATATTCGGTGTATTGCGCATTGTCTTAACCTTATTACTAAAGACTTGCTTAAACATACTTTTGCCACACGAATTATAAATTGGTCAACCGTAATAACATCTTATTTCAATAAGAGCCATTTGCCAAAAAATCTACTTGAATCTAAAATTAAAAAAAAAAAAATCAAAGGTGGAGGCTTAAAGACATATGTTAATACACGATGGACTACAGCATATGAAATGCTTTATTCAATTTACCAGCTCGAATCATGTTTAAAAGAAGTATTTAATTTATATTATTATTATATATATACTGTATTACTATTATAATAATAATAAAATAATTTAATATATTAATTATTATTTTATTTTTAAAGGTTATTAATGAAAACCCTAATATTGTAACAAGTGAAATAATCCATACTATTATTTTGCGAAAGCGAGGATTTTTTCAAGATGTATATGATTTAATGAATATTCTCAAACCTGTTAAAAATGTGATTACATTTTTAGAAAGACAAGACGCAAACCTTGCTGATTGTTTTTTTGGGCTTGCACAACTTGGAGCAACTATTAAAACAATATCAGAGGTCGATCACAAAATGTTTCGTTAACATTGCATAAAAGTTTTTAATTCTCGCTTTAAAGAATTTGACTTTGATGAGCATTTACTTGCTTATTATCTGCATCCAGGATATCGTGGCAAGTATAATTTAAATTATATATTTATATGTATCAAAATTTATAATTTTATAAATATATAATATAATTATTACGTATGTACGTACGTTGTGAAAGGCTCGGGTTGCACCCAGATTATTTTTATTTATTTATTTTATTATTTATGTTATTCTATTTTATTTTTATTCTTTTCTTTTGGTTTGTTCTACTCTTAGTAAGGTTTTACATAAATTATATTAGCTGTTAGTATAGTAATCGATATAAATCCAAAAGTAGTAAGTGGAAGGTAATCCTTACCGTAATGGAGCATGACAGACAATCTAAATTTGGAAATGATGTTTAGTGGCTTAGCCTAACTTAAAAAAATTTTTTATACAGCTTTAGATTACGAAACTTTCTCGTGATTACTCAGAACCTAT